TGAACGCAGATGAAAACAACAACAGAAAAAACAGTTCTCTCAATTTAGTAAGCTTTCTGGCTGTTTATCAGCTGTCTGATCTACTTTCTGAACCATCCAGCATCCTCAATTGGCATACAGTGAACAGGATTTCAGCTACGTATATCTTTTATAGGCCAAGTCCGTTATTTAAATCATTCCAACCACTGTTCTTAAGGATTAAGAAATCCATTGCTGTAGAAGAAATCCATTGCATATGAAGAAATAATTTCAACTTCCACTCATCTCTCTTCATACTTAAAAAATTGACAAGCTTCCTAAGAAATGGACAGATTTAATAATCTGTTAATCAGTTAAGGTTATAACAAATCAGCTAATAATAATTGCTGGTTTATATCTAGTAGATGTATGATCTTTGGTATTTATATGTTTATGTTACAGAGAATGAAATTTAGTTTAATACAAGGCCTACATGTCTGGCAGGTAGTTGAAAACAGACTGGCTGCTGCGCATCCATCCATGACAAAATAGAGCAAAAAAAAAAAAAAAAAAAAAAAAGAGATGTAGGAATAATTTTTTCCTGCTTCCACTGGAATCTGTTTGCTGGAACAGACCTTTGGCCAACATGATTTTTACAGTCAGTGAACTCATCCCTGGAGATGTTCAACACCAAGCTGCATGGGGCCCTGGGCAGCATAATCTAGTGGGTGGCAACCCTGCCCAGAGCAGAGGTTTGGAACAAAATGATCTTTAATGTCCCTTCCAACCCAGAACATCCAGATTTTGTGAACTCAATGTAGGTATGAGCTGAACTGAATTTAACATACCCTTCTGACAGACAGTCCTAAGACGCTGTTTTCATGTGACAGACTGAAATTCTGCTACCCATGAGTATTGAGATCTGTTGATTTTAAAATGGCATTACTGTACATTTCTGTGGATGGCAAAAAAAAAAAAAAAGAAAAAAAGAAAAAAAAGTCTGAAAGCTTACTAATTAAAACAAAGAATTACTTCCAAACAAAACAGTACATCATGCTACAGCACAAACACAGTACCTGTGTAAGTTTAAGAGGAGGGAGATTTACTGAGAGGATTACAGCACAGCATCTGCCTACTTGGAAGTTCTTGTGGTCATGAACTGCATTTAGTCTGTGCAGCAGTTGATGAAATTCAGTAAAGGAATTACCTGATTCTTCGTGTATTCTCTATCAATATTGTAGCTGTATCTATTATATTGACTCTGCAGAGTTGTGTTTCTGTATTTTTATGTATTTATAGCTTTCTTGTAATGTCTGTTATTAGCCATTTTGTGATTTACAGTAATTATGTAATGTTCTAATGTTACTTCTGCTGTGCAAGCTAGTAAACTGATAAATATTTTAGTGTTTTAAATAGATCGGTTCATTTCACTCCTGAAAGTAAAGACTTCACAGATGTATGTCTGTGAATGACACAAACTTCACTATAACTAGAAATAAATCACATATGGGATAAGATTACTTAATTGTGAAATCTGAGTGCTGCCTTGCTAATGGAGTTTGCAAAAGAATATTCATACAAGAAATTAGAGTAACAGAAGTGAAACAGAATCTTAGAGAGTCAGCTCTTAGAGGGGACATTCATTGAGGAATATATCTTAATCCTCACTATGCAGGCATGTGATTTTGGCAAAATAGATCTTTCCTGGCATATCTTGCTTCAAAACAAAGATCTGTTTTGTTAATAGGATTGTCTTTTCATGGCGGTTTTCCCCAGCATAATTTTGACAAATAAAAAGTTGATGTTCTCTCAAATGAAGGGTAATGTTGGTGCATTTTTCTGAGAATACATCGTTCCTCTGAAGGATCATGCTATTTGTCTGGTCATTGAAAAATATCCTAGTGCAACTGAATGTCTTTTTTTTCTGTTAAAAAAAAAATAATAATAAAATAAAGGTGCATTTTAAATAAATACTCTGACAAGTCTGATTTATTCTAACAGTTTTGGCAGCCCAGCCTGTGGCAGGGGAGTTGAAACTAGATGATCTTTCTGGTTCTTTTCAACCCAGGCCATTCTGTGATTCTGTGATATGATTCATGACTTAAAATAATGTTTGCTTGTTCCTGCTTTCACTAGTAATATGAGTTTTTATGAGTTTTTGTGGACGTGACTAGCAAAGGGTGCAATTATTCATCTCCACTATCAAAAAAATTCCCACCATTGAAATAGGTTTGAGTGTAACTTGAGCTTTACACAAAGTTGCTGATAATGTATTCTAGTTGTATGTGTCTGGATTCTGACAAGAATTCCCAACAAGATGCATTCTTGTTGTAGTTCCTTCTGAATGGAATTCAGCCAAATCACAGAGTGCTTATTTTGGAGGGAGCCTTTGGGGGTGGTAATTTTTATTTATTTAGTTTTCTTCAGAAGAATTATTTCAAAGCAGTGAAGGTAAATATCCAAGCATAACCAAACATCTTAATATAAGAGCTGATTGTAATAATGAAGAGATAAAATTAGAAGATTAGCAGCCAGCATTCTAATACTGCAGGTGTAAGGAGCACTAATGGTTGACAGATTCCTGTTGCAGTTGCACATCTGAAGGAAAGATGATCATAGATCATCTCAAGTATTTCAAGCAGATGGACTGGGATGAACGAAGACTAGAAACATCTTAATGGGAGGCAGAAAAGTAGACCATTATGCTAATATCATGTTTGACCAACTCAGAGTGACAGTAAAAAAAAAAAGAAATAAATAAAAGGAACCAAAATACAAAGATTATTAAAATGACGATAAAGTAAATTTGTGTGCAGTCTGTTTTATTAAAGTGACGGTAATGTCACATGTGGAGTAACCTAAAACAAAGCTGCACACGTTCAGATCTGCCATTGCATGTTCATTTTGATGGACTTTTTGCTTGAAAATAAAATTGCATGAAAATAATGTGCATTAAGATTATTTATCTATAATGGCTGGCAAGTATAGGTGTGTGCCTTTATTAATAACTGAAAAATGTAATTGTGCTGAGTGGCTAATTGGAACACTCAAATTAATGTTTTAGTAACTTGAGAATCTGATGCCGTAGTTGCTGTTAGCACAGTGTTTACCATCATGATTTGGAGGAGTACTTTTAAAGCAGCTTATCTAAATTAATGCACACAACAGTTTTACATAGATGGAAGTGGAGTAATTGGGATGCATTATTATCAGCAAGGTTGTAGTTCAGTAGACAAGGCAGTAAAATTCGTTCAACACTGCAAATTACATCCTAAATATTTATAATGGTATTTTGGAGTTGTTGCAGTAGAAAGTACTTGTAAGAAATACTGGCTACTCAGAGAGATATAAAATTGTTTAAGTGGTTATATACTTGGGTTTATTTTCTGTTACGAGAATAAACACATTAAGAGATGAATGTAAAAGCTAGTTGAGAGGTGCAGAATCACTTAATCTTGGTGGGATGTACACCTCTCCACCAGTAACAGTTTGACTCAATTAATGGATTTGCTTCAGTCAGAAGAAGATACCCGGAAAAATGCAGTTAAACTGAAAGTTTTGAAAAAATGCACAGTACTCATTACATTATTTTTTTCATGAGAAAGCACAGTTGTTGATAACTGTTGAGGAAAAAAAAGAGGAGAAAATGATATGATGTGACTTACAGCTGTGGGGGGTTGTACCTAAAATTTTTTAGGTACTTTTGAATTCAGTGCGTAGCCTGTTGAGTTAAAGTGAAACCAGTTCAGGTATTTTTAACTTCCAGTATGTAGCCTGTTGAGTTAAAGTGAAACCATGCAACTACTCTTTAGAAAAAGTCTTACTAAAACACGACAGGTATGGATCCAAAGGCTTTATTGGAGATTTCACTTACTGAATTTCTTGCGTGCACAGTTTACTTTCTGCAGTAAAAGCTATTTACTGTAGCTACTGTAATGTTGTGCGAGTACTTTGTGAATGAAAGTTAATTAATATTAATTCAAGATACTTGAATTTAAATCCTGCTCTACACCACACTCATATTTGTCTGTTTAATATACTATGGGAAAGTAAAGTTAAATGCGTTCTACACTTGAGCAGCTGTGCTGTTGTGTTCTGTTATTTATCATGCTTGAGGGTTGACCAGTTGGGAAGAAAGTGGCTAGCCATGCATGAGTCTTACTTGTGTGGTTAACTTTTTCATCACGCTGTTGGAATGCAGTTGTCATTGTTTCTTTTGCTGTTACCTATCACCATAGCATGTGGGTGTCTGAAATAATGATCTCAGAGTGATGCAGGTCTTCAGGTAACATGCCAATTTCATGGAGGTCTTGGAAAAACAAGGCAAGCTCTGAGCCACGTTATGAGTTGTTAACTATGATTTATAGTCTAAGTTATGAAGATTCAGTACAAGGAATAGAATAGTAGTGGGCCCATACATAACCTGCAGTGCTGAGTGAAAGTGATCTCCACGTTCAGAAACCACTATTTTAATTTTTTTTATGAAGATGACTTCATATCTAAGTAAAGCATCCTTGAACAGCAAGTTGTCTCTCAAGTGTAACATTTTTGCAGTTGTTACACTGTTGTTTTCATTCTGATTACCATTTTTTTTCCATAATTTTATCATGTGCACTGTAACTTTATTGGGTAGATTTCAATTTTCTATTAAAAAGAAAAAGTAAAACTCAGGAGTTTTGCAACAGTACTTGCTTATTTATTGTGCTTAATTCTCAATGTTGTCCCATGGTGTAATGCCACAATTCTAATACTCTTTTACAGAGCGTGGGATTTGTAGGGAGGAAGAGGAGATGCCTTCCAAAGCAATTAATCTACTTCTAGGATAATTGCTGGAACAGTTAAGATGAATCATCCTGTAGCATGCCTGTTTCTCTTCATGAGCTGTGGAGCAAGTATAAGTGTCATAGACAGCTGACTATGAAAAGATAGGTCAGATGAAACTGTCTTTAATACTGGAAAAATGGTGGTTACTTGAGTAATCCCAGAAAACCTAATTCTGTTTTCAGTTGCTTATTCTTATTCCTCTTATTTTTTTGCCATAGGTTCTGATGTCTTTACATGAAATGTTCCCAGCAGTGCATGCAGCAGAAATGGCTGTTCAGAGGAACCCACGTTCCTGGGATGCCTGGCAGACTTTGGGACGTGCCCAGCTTGGACTAGGAGAGATAGCACTGGTAGGAAAATAAATAACATTGACATGTTAAAATTGTGGACTACATCCTCTGAATTGTGTGTGAGAGAGTGAAAGTACAGAAATACCAAGGCGGTTGAATAGCCATAAGTAGCTTGAAAGCAGGCAAGGAAAAAGATGTTTGCTGTTTGTTACCAGTGTGCCCCTCTACTTGGTTGTTTATCACAAATGCTTCCTGTGTGGTTTTGCTGCCAGGCTTGTGTAAGACCTGCCTAGCTCAAAGCTTTCTGTGTTGTATGCTGTGTTTAAGTGGTGGCTTTATGCAGCAGAATAATTTCAGTGATGTAACTGTGTATGCTACATTCTAGATGCTGTATGTTGCAACACAGCACACCAGGCTTTAGAGCTGAAAGTACTGTAAAGTCCCAGGTGATACCTGTCTTCAGTTTTATGCACAGCTGCTAGAAAGATATCTTGTTTTCCCTAGCTCCTGCTTTCTTGCTTCAAGTGCAGCAAATCACGTGTGCGCTTCCACGCATCCCTGTGGCTCCATGACTCCATATGGGAGATGAAATTGATGCTTTTGCTAATAAGAGAATAAAAAGGCTGGGGTGCTCTGCAGTAGCTGGAGTACAGCTTTTCTCTAGCTCCTGCTGAATGCCATGGTGCTGTACTGGGCATGTTAAGTGATACAAGAGGAAACATCCCTTACATCAAATCACCCACAGTCTGCAGGTCATCCAACTCTAAATAGCTGTCTGCATGTTAAAGTGTGGAAACAGAGTTAATGAGCTCTGTAGTCCAGATATGTTCACAGAAGTCAATTAGAAAAATAAACTGTAATGGGCTCTCAGATAAAAAGATAGTGGCTTTATTTTGTTTTTGTTTTGAGTAGCTGAGTGTTGGTTTTATAGAAATGAATAATATTGTCATTAGAGTATTTCTGGAAAGTTGCAGTGTTTAAACAGAAAACTTTTCAAGCATAAATTAAGATGTTTTTGAGTGAAGCTAACAAATCATGGAGAGCGTGATTTTTTTTTAAACTACCTTAGGGTACAGTATTTGAAAAAAAGAAATTAAAAAAGGGCAAAACATGAGAATAACATAAGGTAGAAGCTGAGTGTTGCAGATATATGTGTAGTGTTCTGCCTTCTGTTGTCACGGTATCAAAACAGGAAATATTTAATATAAATCCATATCTGCATGCTGTCAAATAGTTGGTGACATTGCATTGCTTTTGTGTTGCAGAAGGCAAGGGCGGATGGGCTGTCATGTCTGCATTAATAATCTATAAATCCTCTTTTTTTTCAGTGCCTAAAGTTGCCACTGTAAATTATGTCTGAGATTTTAAATACATTAGTCTCAGGAAATTCAAAGTTATTTCCTGCAAGAATACCAGGTAGCTGGTGCTGCTTATTCTATAAAAAAAAAAAAAAAAAAAAAAAAAAGAAGAAAAACAGAAAAAAAGCTACAATAACAGCAATCAAAATTACAGATATACCCATTTTAGTTACACCACCAGGTCTGCACACCAGGCCATGCAAGCTTCAGCTGCATTAAATGCATGATTCCAACAAGAGCAAATATCTTCAGTGAGTAGAGCTGGGGACTTAATATCCACTCTGCGTTCATTTTGTTTTAATTCAGACTAGCTCTATTTGGAGAGTTTCAGGGGCTTGGAGTGTAATGTGGAATTTAACCAGAAGGGTTGTCTGAGTCCCCAGTGCTAACCAAAGCATTTTAAATTGGAACAGAGATTTGCATCAAAGCACATTGTGAATCTGAACTAAAACACCCTTATAGGTGCACCTATAGTTACGCTGTATTGACACTGAGGTGTCAGAGCAGGGAGCTTGGTGATGGGTACCTTCCTGCTGCCATCTCCAGTGCTTTAACATGAGGCACTGTTTGCTTTTTGGTGTGTTTAAAGCATACTGAATTGCCTCCTAATGAGAGTGCTCTCACATACAAAGAATAGCATTGGGATTGTTTATAAACTTCAGATAATGCTCACTATTGTCAAACAGAAGAATTTTTAAGGAATCTATGAAAAGACTGGAGAAGGCTTACAAGGTTAAATAATTTCGTAAGTATTGAACTTGTGGAGACTTCTTGAACAAATTATCTATTGTAATTATACTCTTCCCATTAGCCTTTCATTGCCATGATATTCTCATCTTTCACTGCATTAAATTTTTTACAAAGAAGTGTTAATAAAGCATGAACGTCAGTGCTTTTTGTAATGTCTGAGATTTGGAAACTCCTGCCCTTCTCAAGAGCAGCTTCAGTGCTTTATTGTTTCAAATCTCCTTTTCTTCACTCCAGTGTATTTCCTCACTGCCCACATCCTGCCAAATGGTCTGTCATAAATATTTTTATTAATTCACAGAGAATGATGTACTTTTCATAGGAAAAGACGTATTGTATTTTGATTTTGTTTCCTCTGTCTGAAATACAACTTCCAAACAAACTAATCTATATTGTGTGTAATATATTTATTTCTTGCAAATGGAAGATTTGTGGAGGATTAAACTTGTGACAGAGACAAAATGAGGTAAAGTAGTCCCAATTTATTTAACTTTCAGAGAAGCTATGCACTCTTTTTTCCTGAATTTAGTAAATCAGTTCACTAATAAGAGTTAATTACAAACAAGCAGGATGTAGTGCATATCAAGTAAGATGTAATTTCTAACATTCTCGAAGCCGACTTATAAGAGCACATCTGAGTAAATGTCACTGTGAATACAGAAACTGTAGAAATGCATAGTTGAGCTTAGTCCATTTCTGTAATTGTAAATGTTTGTCTTTGGGTGAATTTTACTGTATTGTTGATAACGCTCTGAAGTAACAAATTCATACAGCTGTTCTTCATTGGAAGAGTTTTCTCCATGAGAGAAAGTGAGGCATACTTTCTGTGAAAGAATAAAAATCATAAATAAATAAACAAACCACCAGGCAAACAAACAAAAAGCACACAGCAAATGCAGCATTAAAAAAAATAACCAACTGAAAACTACAGAATCTCCCAGATTGGAGATGTCCAAAACCCACCAGGTGATGGCCTTGGGGACACTGCTCTCAGTGTCCCTGCTTGAGCAGGATTGAACCAGGTGGACCCAGAGGTCCTGCCAACCTCGTCCATTCTGTGATGTAAGTTTACTGTGGACTGGATCCTCATTTTCAAATCTGGAGTGTTGATAACTGTGATAACATTGGGCAGGTGTGTAAATGGAAACCAATGATGCGTGCTTATTTCTTTCATTTTTGGAGAATATGTTTTTCTGTGTCAGGGCTTTTATGTAGCGATAGGAGTCATGCAAAGAATAATTATTACATTTTTAACAGAATATATTTGTTAACCTAAGAGAATGTTATAAGGTTTCATTTTATATTTAGCATTTGTAAACTGGTACCTGGTTGTGTTCCTGCCGAATTCTTGAGTCAGGTAACTCACATTTTCTTTTTAGACTCATATGAAATTAAAATATTTAACTACAGTGCTGTGATGGTTATTGTTTTACAACATAATGTATAGATTATTCTTATAGTTATTTAAGCATATTAATAAGATATATGAGAGTAGTCAGGACTTTTTTTATGTGCACAAATGAAATTAAAAGGAAGCACTGCGATTGAAAAAATAGCTACTTGATTTGTAATTTTGGCCTAGAATTTCTTGTAATTTCATTTGAAGTGTGAAACAAAAACTCTAAATTACATTATTTGCATCAGGTTTTGATAAAAGACTTTTCTGTAGGGAGATAAACAAAAAAAGAAAGCACAGGACATATTTCTTGTTCTGGTGAACAGAACTACATGCCAGCCACATACATATTCTAATGTATAGGATTTGGGAAGCATTAAGCTTAAGTTTGAGAGAAAATAAAAGACTTTGTCAGATGAAAAGGAGCTATGTTGAATTCTTTTCAACAGCTTTTAGTGATGCTTTTCAAGAGTAGGTACCTCTCAGTGATACAAGGTTATGATGTATTTTTAATGCATGGAAGTCCTTTCTACTGAGAGCTGATTTTTATTTTCAGTTTGCAGAAAAGCAAACAAGTTTCTGAAAGTTTAAGTGCTCTTTCAGCTGTTTTTCCAGCAGATCTGTGTCCACTCTTGGGGATGCGTCCTATTTAGCAGTATCATTTGGTAGGAGTCAAATGTTCTCGAATGGGATAGTTTTTTTGTTCCAACAATGAAACTGGATTATGCCTATCTGCAGTAGAGCTTACTGAACAGATCTCTAAGGTAAAGCCAGCCTAAGGCAGATGCTTCCACAGAGTTTGCCCTAGTGTCTTGCAAGGATACTTCTGAAAAAAATAGATTTATGAACTTAAGAACTGCAGATAATAAACTGTTCAGCTTATTCTTGAATGCAGAATTAGTATTTCTGCTGGAAATAATTTTCAATTTAAAAATTGCTACTGAAAAGAATAAATAATTGGAACAGAAATCAGCATAGAAAAAATCAGCTTGTTTAAAGTTGAAATAGGTAAAGGCATTTGCTATTCAGATTAAATTGTATAAAGTAATTAGAGTGAAAATATCTGGATTTCATTTGGTCAGTGTCTTTAAATATAGTAGAGATTTCTGTGAAAATGAGTTGTAGTCACTGTGAATAGCACAAGATATAACAGACTTTAATTGGAATAAAATGCTATGTTGAATGTTAGGGAAAAATGCCCATCTGTAAGTGTTAGATACGGAGAAAGATTGCTTATAGTTGTGTGTACATCTCAACTGTTGGACAGCTTTTAAAATAGGTCAGGTAGACTCTTGTTGAGATGTAAAATAAAAGCCTACTATAAGCACTAGTGTCAGGTGTGAGTTGGGTAAGCCCCAGTGTCAGCTGTGTATATACTTCCTGAACTGATCCATGTGAATGGCTTTACTACAAGATAATTTGCTTTCAGCAGTAGTTTGTAATTATTAAAATTATAAGTGGGATGAGAAGATTTACAAAGATGCTCATTTTCTGTTGTACGTTTCTGAGGGCAGCTTTTTCAGCTTATTAAGTGTTGCCTTATATTAATCTGTTTTTTAGTACTGTGTTCAATGTCACTTAATATGCACGAACATAACTACATAGAAAATTTAACAGAACTATATAGAAAGGTTCTAATTAAGAGACCTCTTCCTTGGAAAGCTTAAAGGCAGATGGTGTTTGTTTACATTTTGTGTTTAACAGGAAAAAAAAAAGAGCATTTAATGTTTACTTGTAGCTCATCTATCCCTGGAAGTGAAGAGTAGCAAAGTTGAATAAAATCACATTGTTCTGCAAGAATTAAACTGCACTACTCCTTCTGTTTAAAGTTCCAGCGTGCTCCTATACTTCAGATCTGGCTGAGGACCAGTTATAAAGTCTTCCGTTTTCCTGGAACTGAAAGGCTGCCTATTACAACTTCAGTAATACTGATAGCACAATCAGCATTTCTTAAGATCTGATCTGTATCTAGTCTGTTCCTGCTGAGTTCATGTTGTGGAATTTGTTTATTACTGTGGCCAGGAGAAGAATGAACTGGCAGTTTCTGTCAATTCAGATGAAAAGTAGTCATTTTTCAAATTAATTTCCATTCTTTTTGTATTTATAAATAATGAATGAACACAGTATTTGATAATTCTCATGTCTTTATAGTCACTGCATGCAAGCTGCTAGAACTGTCCCCAAATTCTACCAGCAGTATAATTATTGATTTTCCACCCCGTGGGAAGGCTTATATGCTTCACCATAGAAGAATTTGATCATTCAGATGGCTACTTCCATAACTGACAATAAAATCATAGATGTAAAATACTTACATGCCTGTAAATGACAGTAGATGAAGTCAGTCTTGACCTTTTCACTGTTGACATATGAGGGCTGCTCCAAAAGTGATGCCTCCTATTTTACTGCATTGGCCCAAGCCTTCAGAGAAGGATGTTGGTGGTACAGCAGCAGAGGCTGAACCTTCCCACTAATATCCCATTACATGTTGTTGCTGTGTGACAGATGGCAGCAGAGGGGGGCAGTCTGACACAGTGGTGTCTGACATGGAAATGTGCATGAAGCCAAAGGATGGAATTGAATTCTTCCATGCAGAAAAAATTGCACCCGCTGACATTCATTAACATTTGTGAACATTTATGGAGACCAAACTGTGGATATGAGCACAGTGAGGGTGGTGGGTGGTGGGTTGGTTTCAGCAACGATGCCATCATAGCAACTGCAGAACAGTGGGTCTCCTCCACTAGTGCTGATTTTTAGACTAATACAATAATGCAATAGTTTTGTCTTCTACTTATTTGCGGTATTGTTTTTGACATATGAACTCTTATTTTACCTTTGCTGCCAAATACCTGGTCTGTTGATTGTGCTTTCATGTTCCTGGTGTTTTCAGACACTTGCATGCAGTGTTGTTTGGGGTTAATGCTGCTATTGAACTTAGAGTTGAGGGAGAATATTATTCTGAAGTCAGATAATAGTGAAATCATTTTTTGCTTTGCTCAAATGATGTACATAGTTCTTTTTTTCTCTGTAAATTTCTGTGATGAAATACATTGGCTTCAAACTTTCCAATCCCTCTTCCTTATTATGTTTGCAGGCAATCCGGAGTTTTCAGGTATCCTTACACATCTTTCCAATGAACCCTGAAGTATGGAAGGAGGACCTTTCTTGGGCAAGAAAACTACATGAACAGCAGAAGGCAACACAGACTGAGGCAGTGCAATCACAAGCCAAAGGAAAAGAGGTTGCACAAGCATCGATCCCAGACTATGACTTTGAAAGTGATGAAATTGTGGCAGTCTGTGCTGCCATTGCAGAGAAGGAGAAGGCTCTTTCAGAAGCTAAAACTGTAGTGATCGTCTCTGCTTCAGGCACAGTAGAGACCGTTACTGAGAAAGAGAATTGCACTTCAACTCCTGATGAATCCATTTTTATCAGAGCCCGATAGGGCAGCCCTGTGGATTGTTGGTGCTGCTTCAAATGTCATTTATCACATTGGATTTTGATTTTTTTTTAAGCAAAAATAGAAGATTGAAATTATTTTTCTTTTGTAAAGTGAAAAAAAAAAATGACGTGAGTTGTTTTTCAAGAGGAAACCCAAGATTTTATTTTGAGAATCTCATTAAGAAATGTAATGTTAAAACACTTGACTAGTTTCGCTCGCTGACCTTACAATATTTCATAATTTTACAGGTTAACGTCTACATTTTCTGACTAATTAATGAACTTACTTAAAATGCAAAAGAAAAAGGGATTTCAAAATATATATTTCAATCCTTAGTCATTATTTATCTTCCAGCTATGGTGAACTGTTCTCTGTTATCAGAAGCTTTTATTTTCATTTATTTTCCTATGGGGTTGTTTTCTATGAAGCAGAGATGGACTTTAACTTCTGTGTTTGTTGTGTCTGTGATGGACTGGAGATCTGATCTGTAATTCAAACAGAATTGGTAAAGCCTTTCATGCTGCTTTCAAAGGGGAATGGTTAAACACTTCACATGAAAGGCAGTGCTATAGTGAACAAGCTCCTGGATGCTTCATTGTTATTAAATGTTTCAGTAGAAGAGCTAACGTTCAGCTGAGACTGAAACTGGGCTTTTCTTCAGTGCTGTGCTACAAATACTGCTGCAAGTAAAATGTTGGGAGCTGGAAATAGATATTTGTACATTTTATGTAGCCTTTCCTTTCTTAGTAAGGCTAGTCTTATAAGGGGGATCAGTTTTCTTTTTACAGTTCTTGGAAGCTGCCAATTAAATTATGGTCTCAGTTGTTCAGGGCAGCATTGGCTGAGTCTCCATTTTTATTCTTTCTGGATTTTAGATGCTGTGGTGGATATTCATAACTGAATAAACTTACGAGACGTGCTTGCTTAGACTTCATCTTTGTTTAGGGGAAGATTGCCGCTGGTTCCTTAAACGAGCCATTTAGGAAAACAAAATCAGGCAGTTTCTCTGATGTGCTCTTTGCTAAGACTACCCTCTTTTTATTGTCATAGGAGACAGGATAGAGATGAGAGCCTCCAGACTGAACTGGGTAATAGTCTACTGAAGAAATCTCAAAAATTCAGGGTTGGGAACATATTTTCACTTAAAATATTAAAGTGAATATTAATATTAAGTATTAAATATTAAAATATTCACTTTGAAATATTTTGAATGGAAAAAAGTACTTAAAATAACAGTGAAGCCTTTTGAAATCTCTACATCTTTAATACTTGATTTCTATTAAAAATGTGTATATATTATTGTTGCCATGAAGCATGATGAATTTTGCAATAGAATGCTTATTGTAGAAAAGTCACCCAACTCACAGCTTAGTTCATTTGAATATTGCTAATTCTTAAGAGGACGGCTAAGTTTTTTGCAGAAATTAATTATCCTTTTAAAAGACTTAATTTCCGTGTTCTCACATGACTAAGCTTTCATCATATTTTTGCAAATACATGCATATTTTTTTAGATCTCTGTGCATGCCCACAAATAATGTGCACTTTTTCACATTTAAATATCCAAAGTAATTATAATTACAGTGGCCATTAAAAAAATGTCACACATCACCATACTATGTTTTTTGTTTATTCAGTTCTGAGATAGATTTTTAAATGCTCGTTGAATAGGTATCTGATTCTTGCTTGAAATGCTCTGCTGTATAATTTCTTCATCTTGTTGTTTTTGTTTTGTTTTTTGTAACAAATAATACAGTCTGTTCAGTAATAGGAGGTGTTAGAAGAGTTTGATAACTCTCTTCAAAGAAGAGACGTTCTCTGTTTGGAAAAGGAAGCGTGCAAAAAAGTTGTAAGACATTTTCAGTTTTCCATTTTGAAGCAGTTTGGCTGTAGCCAAGTAAATCTTTCCTTTGTTTGCCTTCTCTAATTGTATCAGTGTTGTGTATTTACTCATGTGGAAGGGACTCCCTTATTCCTTGCACAGGTCGTTGTTATCACTCTTTCTGCTTCCACTGAAATGATTTGCAAAACTACTATTGAATTCAGTGCTGTTGGTCAAAGTTCTGGCAGTGCACATCTGTACCATCAGGCTCAACAGTTGTGTTGGGCTGGAGGTGGTGTTGTTCCCATTCCCAGTTCTAAGTGTGTTTTTTATTCTGATGTCACTAGGTTACAAATTCTAGGTATTGTCAGTAATATCTTGAAAGAGATAGCAGATAAGTTATTGTGAACATGTTACTCTTAGGGAGGAAGCTTCACTACTGATACTGCAACCTCTCTCCTTTTTTTTGTACAGCATGCCATTTTTTGCATGTACAGGATTTTCTGGATATGTTTGAATAAAATAGTGACTTCTCTGCTGTGTAGTGATGCATGTTTATTCTTTAGCTAGTAACAAGAATGTTAAACCAATCACCATTTTAGGATGTTAGTCATGTAATCAGTTGGCTTCGTCTGTCTCTGCTGGACATGTTGACTAGTTGTAGTTTTGTTTTGTTTTGTTTTGTTTTGTTTTTAAAAAAAGCCATCTTAAGAAAAATATTTAATAAAAGGTAGTGGTAAGTGGTTCTGAGCGTCTCAGGAGTATCCAAAAGAATGTGATCCGAAGGAGAAAGCAAAAAGGGAAATACTACTGCTACTTTACTAACTGAAATTTATTATTCATAATCATCACTCACAGTCAGTGGCTTCAGTAGCTTTTGTATATTTGTCTTCGTATGAATCATACATATATGAAAATCCTGAAATGTAGCAAGGTAGTTAAAGAGCAAAATACACACAGCTGAGGATTTAAATCTGACTTTTTCCCTTGGAAAATTTTATATCTGGAAAGAAATGTGTAATTTAGAAGGACATTCATGTGCCTTATGTTAGATAAAAATCTTTGGAAAAATTGAATCAAGGTGCTAAATTAGTTCCATTGACTATAAAAAAGAAGCCTGAAGTGGCTGACTGGGTGTCAGCTTCAGATACTGAAACGGAGTATATGAATTCCACCCCTACGGAATGAGATAATGATCTTTGGAAAATTGAACAGATGACGGCTGTTTTGAAGGTGATGTCTCCTATTTTATTGTGTTTGCCTACGACTTCAGAAGCAGATGTTGGTGTTAGAACAGTAGAGGTTGAACCTTTCTACCGTGGGAACAACAGATGGAACAGACAGCAGCAGAAAGGCAGCGTAACAAAATGGCATCTGAAGTGGAAGTGCATATAAAGCAGAGGTGTGTCACTGAATTCCTCTGCAGAAAAAAATGGCATCCGTTGACAGTGATTGATGCTTGCTGAATGTTGATAGATACCAGTGAGCAGATGTTGGCACCGTGAGAGTTTCAGCAGCAGCAACGCCATCATAACAACTGTGAAACAGTGGGTCACCTCCGCAGCATGCAGGCTCTTGTTCATGGCTGGGGAAAATACATGGCTAGTGGTGGTGACTGTGTTGAAAAATACTGTTCTGCAAATCTGAGAATTTGCTCTGTCAGAGTGTTACTTTTTGTTGTAGTATCTATAGAAATACATAGGAAGCATTACTTTCTGATAATAATCAGAAATACTTAGATTACACAGAGAGAATACTTTCCAACAATATTAGAGGGCAAAGTATGGATCAGATAACACTGACTAATTTAATAATACAATATGGGACTGGATTTTAAAACAGGTTATGGAAGGCAAAAAAATGAACTTTGTTCTTCTCATCCCTAAAACTTCCTTGAGCAACTGTTGATGTTTGGGATCAAGATGAGAAAGGTAGCACTGAAAATGTACCTGGCAACATGAGGTTAGTGTCCCCCAGATCTTAAAAGTAATGGTAAGAAGGTCAAAATGAGTTTTATTTCTAGATCATATAAGAGCTGTGAACTTATGTAGTACTGGGGTTCAAGAAAGCAGAAGCATGTGGGCTTGGACTATGCAGATTTACTGTAGGTTGGTGTCATTGGCTATCACATTCTCAAGTGGATTGAAGTTCTTGGCCTGTTAAGCAGCAGAAGTTCCATTGTGGCAGATTGACTGTCCTGGTTTAGGGGGCTGACTTTCCGAAAGAAGTGATTCTAGTAGCTCTTTGAATTTTAGAGAGTAAATGGTCAAAGGGAAAAACTGGATGTAAGGAGTGAGTTTTGTATTGAGGTTCAGTAAGCTTGGGGTTCTGACTTCAATTGATTTTCATATCTGATAAAGCTGACAGGTCTATAACAGGGCCTAGCAGTGGAAAAGGTCTGTTGTTATGTTGAAACTTGAAAAGTAAATCTGCTTTAAGTAAATCAGATACTCAGTTTTGCAGAAGAATATTGGCTGAAAAGTTTTGTAGAAGACTTCTTGATCAAGATGTCGTGGTGCCATTTGAAGATAATGGTTACATTGGTATCGTTATCACTTCGGCATTGCATTTACAGCACTGATAGTAGCACTGGTGTTGCAGACAGTGGAGATGTATAAGCTTAGGTTGTAACAGGATCTTTGAGCCCATGAGTGGAGCCTAAGTACACTATATTCTGCTCCTTAAACCTGGATCCAACTGTAATGCTCATTTACAGATCATAGGTTCAAATTAATTTACAATATTCATAGAAACTGATTTCTACCAGTTTCCTACCAATAATGGCTCTCATCCTGTTCACACCATGCCAGAGGATGGGGGAATAAATGGAGTTTGGGTCTGGAGTCTGAGGAAAGGTTTAGGTGTGGGGTATAAGGTTTGGTGAAGCTGCAGTTTGTGCTGTGGGCAGCAGAATGCTGGAAGTAAGGGTGTGAGACTGGGGGTGGTGGGACTGGCAAGATGCAGTCACAGATAAGATTTTGGAATAAGACACTTCTGAATTGTGAATTAATGCATTTTCCATTAATGTGGGTTGACTGGGGATTTTCATTCATTCCTAAGGCAACTAGTGTTGATGTGGGCTAGTGAGTCCTGCCCAGCACTGATAAACCACTGATGGAGTCACAGAGATAGGATTTTGGAGTAAGACACTTTTGAATTGTGAATTAATGCATTTTCCATTAACATGGGTTTTTTGGGGATTTTCATTCATTCCTAAGGCAACTAGTGCTGATGTGGGCTTGTGAGTCCTGCCCAGCACTGGTAAACCACCAATGCTATGGGGAGAAGGAAGACTTACCATTTGTTTTTGCAAAGGGAAGAAAGAACACCTCTTTTGCTGCTCTATTCTTGCTTAGAAGTCTATCAGAACAAACTGTTTTCCATCAGTAATGCACAGGCCTTTCTCATTTAGAAACTAGACTGTCAGGTACTGTTCCTTGTCTTAGATAATACAGTGAGGCCTTTTTTTGGTCACTAGCAAGTAGCAGACCATAGCTAAATGCTTTAATTGCAAAGACAAAGGCAGATATGTACCTGCAGCTACAGCAGGAACTTCAGTAGCACTGTTCTCTAATCAGTGCAGCAGTAGCTTCTGCTGCAATATTTGTGCATAACTTCCTACGTACAAATAAACTCTACTGCTCCTGTGCTAGAGGGAAATAGGCAGATTGAGGTTTAATTGAGTGGGGGTTTTGATTTTTCTGTCGTTCTGAGAGATTTTCATGGCTGTGCGATAGTCCTTTCACGTTTTCTAAGATGGCTCCTTCTTGCTGATGGTGATTGTTCTGTGGAGCTCTGGAAACTTCCAGTAGGTTTTAGAAGCAGCTAAGCACAAGGTGTTCCAGAAGGGTGGCTTGTTAAAGTAGGCAGTTGGCACCGAATGGCAGACTAATAAACTTTTGATCTCAAGCAGAACATTTCCATTTAATCGTGATCTCCAAAATCATTTTGGTCAATACAACTGCTTAAACATGTCATCAACATAAGGCTCAAGATTTTAATTACAATAAAGCATTTCACATAAGAACACTTTAAGCAGCATAACATGCTTAGTATTTGACAAAACATCCCCAAATATCTGTACAGAATTATTTTAGTAAACAGTATTTCTGTAACAAGATCTAACCTCGCAAAATAAAACACCAGAAGTCCTTTTGTCACTGCTGTTTTTGGTGATGTCTTTTCCATTAAAACTCTAGGAACAAATAATGTACAAGGAGTGCAAGACCAGGAGCTGGTTCTATATAACTTATGCTTTTAAATGAAGATTCTACTTCCACGGTATCATACATTTATTTGGTGGAATATCAGATTACAGAGTCATAAAATTCTATTTACTATTTAAAGTAAAATGATAAATGTTATGAAAAAATACCTTTATTACATCAGTGATGCTTTAACTAAAGTGAATATTATGACTATTAACCAGGGGTTGAAAGTTCTAGGCCCTGATGTTAAAGTACTTCTATATGTCCTTAACTTTACATGAGAGTCTCCCTGGCAGCAGAAGGGCTACTCGGATGGGCATTGTTAAGTGTGTGCCTAAGTGTGTGCAGGACGTGGGCTGAAGTACTCAGCAAGGAGCGGATGTGTTTATACACGGAAACATTATCAGCACATAAATAAAATCTGGCTTGTACATACGCTGAAAAGGAATATTCTTAACTGAAGATATGTTTTCTTTTTTCTCAATAGTATGTACATTTTCATTTCAAAGTGTTTACATATTTTCAGCTAAAGAATTATCAACCATGAATCTAGCACGGACAACAAATCTAAACCAAGAATGTCTTATCAGCAGGAAATAGTGGGGAAGAGAAGGCTGGCAATCATTTCTATATACCTGGTATTAATAAGAACCCTTCTCATAGAGAAGAATAGACTTTTAAATATTTTCAAACCTGATATATACACAACAGTAAAAATTCACATTTTCATGCTTTAGTGAGACACTTTGAAATCCTACTGCAAGCAGCTGTCAGAGTAGCTCCGTCTAGTTCCTAGTAGTTGCCTCACATTCTGTTCTAGTACCAGAACCTTGATAGCTGAGCAGCCACAGAAAAACACAGTTCTACCAGATTTGGAAAGAGAATGAAAGAAATGAAAAAAAAATCAAAAAACAAAACAAAACAAACCAACAAAGCAAGAAAGAAAGAAAGGAAAAAAGGAAAAGAAAGTGATGGATCTTTCTATGTTGAGAGGCCCAGTAGCTCTCCTGTGACCCAGAACAAGACATGTTTGTGATTCCAGTCTCATTAGACCCATCTTGTATAACTTCTGATGGCAGCACAAAACACAGTGTCTATTCCACACAGTCCTCAGTAGTCTAAAAGAAATGTACCCATCACATGGCAAGAGAAAATTAGCCCTTTGGAGCATAGTTGATCCCCTTTCCACTTGAATAGGTAGAATGCCTATCTATTGCACCAGTTTTCCAATGTACCAGGAAAGATCACCAGGGTTGATGCCTTTTGTTGCTATATACACTTCTCTGATAAATTCAATGTCTCAGTGGGGAAGGTGACCTGGAGGGGA